AAATAATAATAATAATAACACATATTTATTATCTATTCCCTTCACATCCCAACTTTCCATTTCCCCGTCCCCCCCCCTTTTTCCCCGATTCTAGACGCTGTATGTGAAAGCCCAGCAGTATGACAGCAGGAGGAAGACCAAACGCCCACGTAAGCAAACCGAGCCCCGGCGGTCTAATCAAGTCTTCCGATCTACACTGGACGAGGACAATGTTGACAACAGCACCGGCCATGACCACCACGACCAGAAACCTTTCCGAGACAACAACGACGATGATGATGATGACGATGAGGACGACGACGACAACGTGCTCATTGACGACGAAGATGATCTGAGTTTCGAGGATGGTGCGTCTGACAATAACAGCATAGACTCGATAACAAAAGTAAAACTTGATCTAGAGGAAGAGATTCTAGAGGAGGACAGGTGCAAGGGCAATAACAGTAAACTGATATTGCAGAGAGCTCCAGTGGCCCAGCACCTATCGAACTCTAGACTCCCTCCTCCGCATTACCATCAGCTACATCCAAAAACAAAACCTGTTGTTACTGAAAACGCCTTTCCAGTAATGAAATCATTCAGTACGTTTCCTCAACCGAAATTTCCCAATTGTACAACTGCTGCTGAAACCAGACCCTATCAAAACTCTGGGCCGCCAATTATACCCGCTCACGCTCATTTTCAGAAACATAATCCCCTTCACCAACAACAACCTCCTTCACAACGTAATATGCCCTCTCAGAAACCACCTTTTCAGCCAGAGCCTCAACCCAAACTTGGGATGTCTCAAGACAACGGGACACCGCCTGTGTTGCCTCCGAAACAAAGTCAACACCACGGACGGGCTTTATGTCCACAGCAACAGCAGCAGCAGCAAGAACAGCAGCACAAATCTATCTCACATCAGGTAACGCCCCCCTCTTCAACGTCCTCCCCAAAACAACAAACATCCTCTTTTCAAAAACAGGAGGAACATTCTTCAACAACATCTGGGAAAGTTTGTCATCAAAAACATGGTAGTGATTCCAAAACAGCTTTTTCTCACCCATCCCACACCCCATGTCAACTTGTCAATGAGGTACAAACACAATTCGGCTCAGGTATCCTCCACCAGGAGTCAGCTCAGCAATCACAAAAGTCTCAACAACACCTGCACCAGCAACAGGAACAACAACACAACAAACAGCAGCAATCGCAACAGCAGCAGGAGCAGCAGCAGCAGCAGCCAGAAACCAATCATCAGTCTTTACAAGATGAATCTCCCCCTCAAAGACGTAGCAATGGTCCCAGATACCCGAACATACACGCGGAACTCGAGGACGATTCTGACGGAGATTCTGATGTGTGTGTTCCCAGAAGTACCTGCCACGTGTCTGTGTGTGTCGAGGGACTCCGCCATGGGAACAGCTCCGAGCTTTCACGAAATCCATCGGAATCCAAAAGGGACAAAGACGCAGATTCGGGTGTTTTTTCCACAAGAAGAGAGTTCGAAGTCCACGAAGTAGACGGGAGAAGGGTGAATAGGATCTCCTCCAGAGAGGTCAGTTTTGACAGAATCTCTGAATCGACGGCTGCCTTGCAAGAGATTCAGGTGAAACAAGTCGTTGACGAATTGAGCCGAAATCCAGACTCCAGTAAAGCTCACTTCAGATCTATCATTTTCATCTTGGCCTTGTCCTTCCACGGAATATTTGAGGGGATGGCTTTAGGTTTGCAGAGCATGAAAAGCAGTGTCTGGGCGCTGTGTTTTGCTATCATTGTGCATAGATGTGTTTTGGCTTTTAAACTTGGAATGGATTTGTGCAGAGGAGAAGAAAAACAGGGAACAGCTTTTTTGTGTATTGGAACTTTCACTCTTATTTCCACACTCGGTATTATCATCGGTATTCTCATCTCCTCTGGGGCCTCGCTTTATGACGATGTTTCCGTACCGGAGGCTCTTCTCCAAAGTCTCGCCACTGGGACCATATTTTACATTGTATTCTTTGACATTCTCTTCAAGGACCTCGAGGGAAAAGACGATCTGAAGAGGGTATCCTGTTCCTTTGTGGGATTTTCACTAATGGCGATTGTTTTTGCTGTTACAAGAAGCTGATTCCGATGTGTGTGGCAAACATTATGTTAATGTTGCCAAAAGAGGTATTCGCCTGTTAGATTCTCTTTTGACATATGGGCGGGTCAAAAGAATAACAGGCTAAGTCATATCAATCCTACCACGATTTAGACTATTTTCAGTTCTAGAAATACAGTTTGTAGATGACTCAGTTGGTTTATCAATTGATTGATTTCATCGTGATATACTATTGGTACGAAGTTAAGAACTAGCAGCACCCTGATTTATCCTGTTTTTCTCTTGATCCTTTATATGGTTAGAGAAAATGTCCTTTTTCTGTTGTAATGTGAGAGCTGGGCATAGGGTCATCTACATGAGAGTCGTAAGTTCCAGAACTGATACATGTTTGGCGTACCAACTTGAGTTTATCAAATAAATCTTTTGTATATTGTAATTCTCACAATCGTTATGAAACACGAAAAGACTTGTTTTTGTTTTTTAGAACATTTTTCTCGGGGTTTTCTTGAGTGTGTGTGTGTGGGGGGGGGGGGGGGAAGGGTGGGGGGGGGGGAAAGTTGAATATTTTTTTTATATTTTTGTTTTGGTTGTATCTGTGAATTGTTCCCCTTATTGACATACCATCTCACATATTTATTTCCTTATTAGTGTTTCATTGGTTTAAATGGTACTTTTAACGATGTGGTAGGATTTTTCCTTTTTTCTTTTTTTGAAAAATGTTTTGTCTTTCCATTTCTTTGTTATAATGTATGCTTTCTTTTGCTTTGTTGCTAAAATTATTCTTTGTAAAGGATTGGGAGTTTGTTTTACTGGTCACAATTTGAGGGCGGGGGTGGTGGTTGGAATACCTATTAGACACAAATATTAGTATTCGAAAGAGAGGTAGTTTGTACAACGGCACGATGGGATAAAGAAGACCTGGATGACAAGAGAATGCACAAAACTAAATATCACATATAACAAAATATACAACATCTCATTCTCTTGTACGTCCGTATCATTCTACGCTTAAAGATGTTGGCTCTCCTTGCCGGCCTTCAGTCTTCATAGCTACAGCTAGATATTAGTGAAACATACTATCCGTGTTTTGTTTTTAAAATCGCTATAAATGTTTATTTACTATAATTTTCTCACATTTAGTCATCAACTTTTTCGAAAAGTAAGCTATGATTTTAACTAGTGCGAATTATAAATATTATAAACATTTCAGATTTGTAAAAAAATATAAAAATGATAATAATATGTCAAACCTTACATTCACTCACAAAGTATTCCCCCTGATTAACTCTCCCAATCAGTTTACTCTTCCTTTGCATTATAAACGGACGTATGGAGAAATCTAATAGGGGGTGTCCACATACGCGATCGGGTCGGGTCGGGTCAGGTCGTTCTGGAAGTCGGGGCTAGCCAAATTGAGGGCGCAAAGAGGCCATCGTGGCACAAACCGTTCGACTCGGTCGGTGACCTACAAAATCAAACGCGTTTGTTTTCAGGCCTGCGAATCGCGAGATCAGGTGGTTTGCAGCCAATCACAACAAGGCTGAGTCACGTGTCCATGTTGACACTCAAAATCCGGTGGCGCCCTCTTCGAAAAAGTGCAGACTTAGAGAACAGAGTTACCCTACATGTGTGAAAAACAATAAAAGCGAAACTAACAAACTGTTCGATTCCTATTCTTCTTCTGGAGAAAAAAAAGAGAGCTTCAAAACAAAGAATGCAGCACCATCTGAACTTCCGCGGGCACTTTTTGGCCGAGAGAACTACAGCTGTCTTCTTATGAACAATCTTTAATAATAGAAAGTTATCGATGTAACTATTGTAACCATGTTTACAGGATCCCAGGCTAACGCAGCACTGCAACAGGGAACTACGGAAAAGAGCTCTTGAAGCCATTGAGGTTAAAGGTTTCTGTACTTTAACTTCCAGGTCGTCGAGTACAATCGAGGTGGGGTTGTAGTGTGCACTGAAACCACCAGAAAAGACCCGACCCGACGACCCGACCCGACACGACCCTATCGCGTATGTGGGCACCCCCTATAAAACAATTCTGAAAACAAAGTAAACCAATGTTAGTTGGGAGGGGAGGTTGGTATCTCAGAAACCTAGCAACACTATGTTATTTCTCAGGTTAATCTCCCGGGTTGTGATTAAATTTATGCTCGTTGTTCGTCAACCAGTGAACTAGCATGAATATTTTTTTCTATTATCAAGAAACACGTACGAATATTAAATTGGACTGATGAGCTGACTATATGTGATAATTTGAAGATGCTCTCAATAACGTTGTGAAATGAGAAAGCGATCTTTGTTCATTGTTCATGTTGTTTATTCGGTGTGTTGCCTTGTGATGTGTGCATGAGTATATATAATATAGATAAAAAAAAGTAAGTGTGTGTGTGAGTGTGTGTGTGTGGTGTGTGTGTGTGTGTGTGTGTGTGTGTGTATGTGTGTATGTGTGAGTGTGTGCGTGTGTGTGTTTGTGTGTGTGCGCGTGCGCAAGCTTATTGGTGTGAATGCAGTTTTCTGTGAAGATGAATATGCATTTAGGTGTTTTTATATGAGTGTATGTGCGTGTGTGTGTGTGTGTGTGTGTGTGTGTGTGTGTGTGTGTGTGTGTGTGTGTGTGTGTGTATGTGTGTAATTGCTAAGGCTGACTTGTTTGACAGGGTAATCGAAGTGAGGAAAAGAACCAGACACAGACTCAGACAAGGTCACAGAAACATAATTAACGAAACTATTTTTTGAGGTGGTACCACTGGATTGTAAATTTCTATTTTTTAAAAACAGACAAATACTGAATTCAGGTGGACCCGACAAAATAATCGAGAAAATATCTCATTAATTACTTTTCATTCCCACTGTGGGCAACACGTATTTGCATCTCATAAACATACCGTTTGGAACACTGGTCTCAAGATTTTTTAGTTTCAGAAAATGCAACTTAAGATGTGAGTACACAAACAGCAGTCAACGAAAAAGAGTTGACAATACTGCAAGGTTGTTTTTTTTTCAATTGGTTTCAAATTTGGCAGTCTTTATCCAGCCTTTCGCGGTCAGGAGTCGTATAAGTATGCCATGACCTGAATAAAGGACATCAACTTATCGCGCTAATAGCAATCATGAGATTATTTGGAATTAGTCCCCGCCCCACTTCCCCACTCAATTTTTTTTAGGTAGACTCTATCTGGCGCTTTCGTGATCTAGAGGTTAAGGTGTCCGCCTCCCATTCAATATGTCGTGGGTTCGAATCCGGATAGGGACGGAAAATTTTCTTCTCTAAAAAAAATGTTCCGTTCTCCCATCCTTTCCTGCTCTCTAAAAATATTATGTCGTCTGCTTTCGTCTCCACTTTCTGCCCTCACCTCCTTTCCCCCCTCCTCAGGGCTCTTTTTCTTTCTGTAGCCTTTCTAGTGCTACTCCTTGGCTCCTTCTTACTGCTGCTGTCGTTCAGCCACATCCCTGATCTTATGGTAGGAAAGATCTATACCTAGCCTTCTTGGACAAGGGCGAAACATCTCGGAGGTCTAGTCTGCAAGTTGCGCACGTTAAAGATCCCTTAGTGGTGAATATGGTATTTATGTGGGATTGGAACAGTTTTGAGTGTTGTGCACCCTGGGCGTTGATGATTTCCTGAACGTCTATTATTATCTAAATTTAGAAGGCAATTTTCTATAACGAACTATAGGTTAATCTGACTGCGATAATGTTCTCAAATTTATGAAGGGAAGCAGGGGATATTAGTTTAGGTAGACGCTCCGCCCCATTATATGTGTGTGTGTGTGTGTGTGTGTGTGTGTGTGTGTGTGTGTGTTTGTGTGTGTGTGTGTGGTGTCTGTGAATGTTTGGGTTTGTTAACAGAACAGTATTTTATCAGAAAGATGTGTTATTCCAATTAAAGTTATAAAGAATTATTAACATTATTTCTATGGGACGGTTGTGCTAAATTGTAACTACACTTTTCTCAAGATACTGTCTATGTAATTGTCTTTTTGGGCAAATTTGTGATTTTGCAGATGTACTTGAATAACTGATATCCAGGCTTTCCATCTAGCTTGTACGGCTTGTTTGTTGCAATGATTTCGAAAGAAATGATATTGAAACTTTACGCATCATGTTTATCAGAGTAAGTACTCTTCTGGTTTCATACTATACAAATGCGTAGTAATTTCTTCTATAGCATTCTGATAGATTGCAAAGTCTTACCCCCCCCCCCCTTCTCTCTATCTATTTCTCGACTCTCTCTCTCTCTCGCGCGCGCGCTCTCTCTCTGTCTCGCTCTCTCTCACCCTCTCTCTCTCTTTCTCTCCCTCTGTCTCGTTCTCTCTCTCTCTCCTAGTTTCTCTTTCTCTTCTTGTCTTTCTCTCTCTCTCTCTCTCTCTCTCTCTCTCTCTCTCTCTCTCTCTCTCTCTCTCTCTCTCTCTCTCTCTCTCTCTCTCTCTCTCCCTCTCTCTCTTCATAATGCTAATTTGACAAATACATTTTCAATGTCCACAAAAATTGTTGATAACTGCTTACTATGAGGGTTGGACAGTTCATTATACCTTTTTAAAAGTTTAGCAGATTGACACCCAGAAAATATTTAGACTACATTTACAAATTAGGAGGAAAAAACCCACATATCTTGCAGAAAACAAAGCTAAACAAAATAACAAGTTACCCTAGTTTGTTTCAAGTAGAAAAACTTTGAACGAGGAGCTTTAAAAAGTTTTTTTTTAAAGTATGGGCGAGGGGGGGGGGGCTAGGAGGGGAAGGCGGGGTCACTCAAGCGTGTCTCGTTTTTGTCTTAAGTTTAAATCATAGACCCATCCTATTTTGAGAAACGCAAACCGTGTGTTATGAATAATTTACGCACATAACCTCTCTGGGTTGTTCTGTTGGGATCAAGAAATTATGTTTTCCCTGAGGAGAGGTAATACATGTAAGGATCAAACTCAAATTTCATTTAGGTTTGAGGGCCAAACTGGATCAAAACTCATTGAGCAATAATAATTTTAAGAAACAATTATTTTTTAAAGTAATGACATGAATTGAAATACAGGGTGATCCAAAAACAACAACTTTACAACTTGTTTTGTAAATATCTTCTTCCGTACTGAAGTTTTGCGTTTCAGTTTTAAACATAACGTTTGGAAGCCAAAAGGAATTTGTCTGATATGTGTTTTAGATAAGTCCATTAAATGGCTTTACTCTATATAGCGCATTAAGAAAACAACCAATTTTCGACCTTGTTGCCATTTTCATAGCATGACACACCAGTTTGCATTAGGCCTTCCACTAAAAGTTGCAACAATCGCGCCATATGGCAAGCTACAGCAGTTTAACAAGTTAACAAAAGTCAGCAGATATTATTTTTCCCGAATTTTGTTAGCCTGCTTAGATCATGGTTACGTTTAGTAAAGAGCGGAGAGCTTTTTGTATTGAACATTACCTCTCCACAAACTCGCCATCCCTG